ACACCAATATTCATAACAGCATTATCCATGATAGCCAAAAGGTGGAAACACCCCAAATATCCAGGGACAAATGAATGGATACATAAAATGTGGTCTACCCACACAATGGAATATTGTTTAAACTTACAAAGGAATGGAATTCGGATATACACTATAAAGTAGATGAACCTGGAAAACATTTTGCTAAGTGAAATAAGCCAGACACAAAAGGCTTTATTGTATGATTCCACTTATACAAGGTACCTAGAACACTCAAATTCATAGAGGAATGGTAGCTTCTAGGGGCTAAAGGGAGGGGAAAATATGAATTATTGCTTAATGGGTACAGAGCTTTGGTTTGGAATGGTGAAAATTTTCTGGAGATGGATAGTCGTAAAGGTTGCATGGCAGTATAAATATACTTGATGCCAATGAATGCCACACTTGAAAACAGGTATAATGGTAAATTTTGTGTTATGTATATTTTACCAAATTAAAAAAGGAAACTCTGGACTAGAAGGTAAGACCTAGGCCACAAAGTATTCTCTAGCACTTAGCATGTTTTGAGCATTGTACACAAAGGTGACAAGAAACTGTTACACATCCTCCTTTAAAATAATTTTTCTGAAGGTCTTGAAATTTGAAATGAAGGTTTCCTCTCCCAAATTCAGGCTTCCCTGGTGGCTCAGTGGTAGAGAAGCCACCTACCAGTGCAAGAGATGCAGGTTCGATCCCTGGTCGGAAAGATCCCCTGGAGGAGAGCATGTCAACCTACTCCAGTATGCTTGCCTGGAGAATCCATGGACAGAGGAGCCTGGTGGGCTACAGTCTGTGGGGTCACAGAGAGTGGGACATGACTAAGTGACTGAGCAACCAGCGCTTTCAGATTCTGTGCTTCCCAGGTTACACACATTTGCAGGTCGGCCACAGCCTTCTGCCAACAGCCCACCGGGCAGTGCGTCACACCCATAGGTACACCCACATGAGACCCAAGAGCAAAGTCTCCACTTCCACTGTCTCCTTTCAGCTGTTCACTATAAAACAGTTTCATAGGAAGCCTACTGGAGGGAGATCTATTTCTTGTACTTGAAATAAAGCTGGTAACAGAGAGAGGCCATCCCATCCCAAGAGGTGGCAGTCATTACTAGGTCCTTAGAGCTCAGTGTGGCTCCCAGCCAGGGTTACTCAGTGTTTATTCTCCCAGGAGTGTTTTGAGGTGCCCTGGGGCTGGCCTAGCCGGCCCCAGATTGTTATTGTCTGATGTGAATGAGGGGCTGGGTCCAGGCAAGATCCAAGCCAAACAGAGTGAGTCAGATGAGCTCATGTGACTTCCTGAGGTCAGGATTCCACTGAAGAGTCTCAGAAGCAAAGGCCAGTGAAGGAGTGGGGTGCAGGGGTCATTGCTTCCTCGGGCTGTGTGATGCTCTGTGACTCTACCCACACCTGGGCTCAGACCTCTTGAAGAGAGTCAGACCCCCAGAGTCCTAGTCTGGGAGTCTGAGCCGTTGGGATGGTAGGCTTCTATCCGATGGGCCAAGCAGTGTGTCTAAAAATCTAGATGGTGTGACTTAGGATCTCTGGATCTTAAGGAATATGGAGACACCCTCAACTACCTCTAAGCAATGGGAATTTACTGAATGGATACACATTGTGCTAAAAGAGATAAGATCCTGGGGAAACTCAGGAAGAGCTGTGCCTGAGAAAGATCTAATCTGAAAGGGCATTAGGGATCATGGCCTGGGCCAAGTTCCTTCCCCTTGACAAAGTGAGTGTGGGGGTATAACTCTGGTGTTTTCCATTCACATGGCTCAGGCACCCTCCTCAGCTGTTTTTACCAGTGACATTTGCAACATGTCATCTTGTTGACTCATTAGAGTTCTCTTCTGCCTCACTCATCTGTCTCCTCAGAGCTGCCGATTCCTCCCAACACTCCTGAAGCATCGCTTTTCCTGCAACCTGATGTCCTCTCTCTCTGCCAGTTTCAGCTTCCATTATCGAAGCCATGATTTTTTTAGTCTGTATTTCCCAGTTTAAGTTCTATGTGTATACAGAAACAGAGGTAATTCATCTGGTTACCTTGTCTGAGGGGACAGTTGCCTTGTCTGAGGGGACACAGTTTTCATTCGGGAGACTTTATTCAGTGCTGACCAGTTTTTGTTGTTGTCCACTTGCTACACTGTGTCCGACTCTTTGTGACCCCATGGACTGTAGCCCTCCAGGCTCTACTGTCCATGGAATTTTCCAGGCAAGAGTACTGGAGTGAGTTGCCATTTCCTTCTACAGGGGATTTTCCGACCCAGGGGTCAAACCCCTGTCTCCTGCATTGGCAGGCCGATTCTTTACCACTGAGCAGCCAGGGAAGCAAGTTTAGGGAGCAGCTAGAACTCCTTCCATCCCCACAGCCATGGCCAGGTACTTTCCAGGTGAGGCCTCCAGGCACCAGATCTTCAGGAAGCAACAATATTTTCCCTGTGATGAATCATCCAGAGTGGATGGAGGTTTTCTTGTAGCATTGTTCTTTATATTTTCTCTTAAATTCTGCCCCTTTTCTCCACCCTGCATTTTAAGCCCTTTCACAGCCCAAGCAGGGAACGTCTTTCCCCACTTCTAACAGCATGCTATGTCTTCTAAAACCATTTATTCATTTATTTACTCACTATTCGTGGAGTACCAGCTTTGTCACAGGTAAAATACTAGATAACGACAAGCTAAAATTTATCCATTTATTGATAAATATTGACTAATTACCAAGTATCTGGCTTTATGCTACTTGCTGGGAATATAAAGATCACTGAGACACAGTCACTGCCTGATACACAGTAGACAATTCAATAAATACTTGTTGAATAGATCAATGCCTTAAAGAGCTTTACAGTCTATTGGGGGAGAGATGCAAGGATTTCAGCAATTACAAGAAGATTGGAAAGGGCCATCCTGGGGAAGATCCCAGGAAGGGAGGCCTGGCGAGACTCAAAATGCCTCCCTATGGGCACTGATGTCTGTGGGAGACGTGGATAATGAGCTGAATCAGCCAAATGAGAGGAATGAGGAGGAGGCCCATGCCTCCCAGCAGCACAAATGGCATGTGCAGATGCTTGGCGGTGGGGGAGGACTGAAGACCAGAGAGGCTGTGACTTAGGACAGATATTAAACAAAGCTGTGCAATCAGGACTTTCGGGGCAGGGTGGAGGTCTGCACGGAGGATAGTGAAATAACACACCCTTCCTACTCCTCTTTCCTCCTACCCTGATTTATCATGTTTCATAGCCCCTTAGGACAGCCTGATTCTAAGAGTCTGTCTCCCCACTCTGTTCCCCAGGCTGGAATATACACCTCACAGACCAAGAGCTTGGCTTTGTTCACTGATATTATCTTCTGCTTGTAGAACAATGCTTAGCACAAAGTAGATGCTCAATAAATATTTATTGACTAAATGGATAAATAAATCAATGAATGATGACTAATATAGGATACAAGTATTATCTAGAGATAGAGTGTATTAAAAAGCAGAGACATCACTTTGCCAACAAAGCTTTATCATCACTTTATCATCAAAGCTATAGTTTTTCCAGTAGTCATGTACAAATGTGAGAGTTGGACCACAGAGCAAGCTGAGGGCCGAAGATTTGATGCTTTCAAATTGTGGTGCTGGAGAAGACTCTTGAGAGTCCCTTGTACTGCAAGATCAAACCAGTCAATCCTAAAGGAAAGCAACCCTGAATATTCATTGGAAGGACTGATCCTGAAGCTGAAGCTCCAATACTTTGGCCAACTGATGCCAAGAGCCAACTCACTGGAAAAGACCCTGATGTGCAAAAGAAGAAGGGGGCAACAGAGGATGAGATGGTTAGATAGTATCACCCACTCAATGGACATGAATTTGAGCGAACTCTGGGAGACTGTGGAGGACAGAGGAACCTGGCTTTCTGCAGGCTTCTTGCCATGTTCTTTCCAGATTCCTGTGTGTGACAGAGTTCAAAATTGAACAAAGCCTTCTGAGAAGAACCTGAGCAGTCCATAATTAGTTTTCCCCTCTTCACACAGGTTTCACACACTTGCCTAGAAATACACTTTTAAAAGGTAGTCTCCCAGGACATAACCCCGGCAACAAAGAAGCCTGTCTAAGATTAAGCAGTTTGGAGAGTTACAAAATAAATATTTGTTTGCAATATCTACACACCCCAAACACTATCTTGAATACATGCAGAAACATTCATAATCAGACTCATGAAATTAGTCGTAGAATATATATATTTTAAATCTCTCTTTTGTTCAACAAATAAACATCTTCTGTGTGCCAAGTAGTAAGTTGGAAGCAGGGATGGTACACAAGAAAGAGAACTTGGTCACCATCTGGAAGGGAGGGGTTCAAAATCTTAGGAACCACTGTTTTCTGTTTCCATTGTTGTTTGAGACTAATTTTGTTCTAACTTAATTTTAATATATTATTTTTTCTAATAATGGATTTAAAGAAGAATTTGATACTTATGGGGAAAAAATATCTTTCATCCAATTTAAAAAACAATGGAACACAGTATTTTGCTTTCCCTAGCCTGCCTTCTATTATAAATTGTAAAATTGTGATTTTTATTTTTCAGAGTTCATCTCAATTCTCTGAAAGGATTTAACAATGGAACATAAAAATCTCAGGTATTTTCCTTTAGTTCATTTTTTAAACCCTCCTGCTACATAACTGACATATTTGTGTTTTTATTTATCACCTTTACTGTTTACATTAAATTATAACTATTTTAGAAACAACTTTAGATCATATTTCAATTATTCTTTTGACATTTCATCAGTCATTATTTTACTAAAGGTATAAACTTTCTCTAGGATACAGAGAGACTGATAGAACCTACAGAAAAATTTCTCCTGAATGAATTTCCCCACCTTCTTGGTGATTGTACACCTGCCTTCCTTATAAGGAGAACAAGGAAGTAAATCATGTTGGAGTTGCTCTTAAACACAGCTTTTCTTCTTTACCTGTCCAGGTAGCTTCTGTTTTCCTTTCAGTCTTAATGAAAACTTTTTTATTTACATCTCAAGTTTCTTTTCAAAGCAGCGTAAGTAGTATTTACAATTTTACACTTCAAGAAAGAAAGACTTTTAACAGTGTTCAGCTTTGGTCTTGTAATGTTGAAGGCAATTCATTTTTTAATCTGTCTGCACAGCGAGAACTGAAACGGATGGGGATTGAACTGCTTTGCCTGTTCTTTCTATTTCTAGGAAGGAATGATCACGTACAAGGTAAGACTTTAGTTCTCCGATATATTGCTTTTGTGGTACGCTTGACAAACCTGTCATGTGGCTCAGAAACTAGATCTTAAGTCATTTTTTACTTGAGCTGTTCAATTGCTCTTTGCCATTGAACGAACACTTTAACAAATTACAGGCAGACGCAGGACTATTCCCACAGCAAATGCTCCGGGCTTTAGGTAAATAAATACAAAGGTTGCATGGGCACCTTAATGAGAGAATTAAACAGCAGTACGCACAAGAGGATTTCTTAATACCCTTGTGACAACCATTTTGGTAACTTTTCTAGCTATCTTATTGTACAACAAGGCCTTCCACTTGAGAGTGATAACCTTGAGACAGAAAAGGGATCTATCTTTTAAAATAAAGCTATAGTACATTTGAAAGAGAAGGATTCTTTAGTGGCTATGAATAATTGTGAAAAATTAAAGGGGGATGATGCTGAATGAGGGTGATAAGTATGATGATCCTATATTTGTGAACGCTGAGATACTTTCACATTTTAAGAAAAAAAAAAAGAGACTGATTATTTTTGGCTGCTAAGACATGCATATTTTCAATGCCATAAATGTAAAATACGAACTTCACTGTGGATTGCTAACATTTTGAGGACTGATCTTCAAAGCCTGAAAAATGAACTTTGATACTGTTTTGTTCAAGTGCTTTAAGAGCTGTCGGTCTCACGAGTGGAGTGGCTGAGAGTGTGCTGAATCCCTTGTGTCTTGCTGGGTTTGAACACAGGTGGCTGTGCTGTGGGGGGTGCGGAGACCTGTGAGGACTGCTTACTCATTGGACCTCACTGCGCCTGGTGTTCTCAGGAGGTAAAGCAAATGACCTCAGCGTGTTTGTAAAAAGTGCACTTACATTTACGGCAGTTCCATCTGTGACTGCTCTCAGTGTCCCGCTTTCCGTGGTGTTATAGGAGTGACACAAATCTGGAAGGGAAAACGTAAACATTAGTGATGCCAAGTGTGTTTCGTATGATTACGTTCAAAAGCAATTTGAGAAGGGAGTGAGTGTCAAATTATTCTGAAATATATGAACTCAAGATTCTTTGACCTGATGCCTCCTCTTATTTTAAGGCCATTTCTTCCTGCTCACAAGTAAAATGTTGAGGCTCTGGGCAACCAGAGCTCATGGAGGCAATCTTTTCTCAAGTTCAGCATACATTTAATTTCAGTATCATAGTTCTGTTTCATCTGGGGACAAGCATTCTTTCTGAATCACTGACAGGATCCCAGAGAAGGCTCGGGGTAAACTTTACTGTTCAAACATTATCCAATTCTTTTAAAAATTACATCCGCTGTGTGACTCTGTACCACAATGATGATGAAACCTGAAGTAGACATCCCTATCTGATCAAACTGAAAGATACGTGAAAGTGGCAGGAGGGAGTGGGGAATGTGTAACAAGCCATCCTGAATCATGCTTCCGGTGACACTACAGAGGAATCTGTAAATGATTCCTAGTAAGAAAGATCTGTATTAGCTCCTTCTGGATTGAAAACAGTTCTTTACTAAATCTTATATTCTTGCCAAATTCAGCAAGAACTGAGTAGAATGTTCAAGGGTAAAGAACCTGGTTGCCCAATTCAAAACCAGGTTGTGGCTGTTAAAACCCCACATTTGTTACCTGTGTCCATGGAGGGAGGGCTTGCAGAGCAGGGCACAAACCCAATTCACTCCCTGACCTCTACCAAGAGGGTCAAGCAGAAGGGCAGTGATTTGGGGCTCATATATCAAAGCAGGTTTGGGAATATACAAAGAGGGAAAAGCCCACATTTTTTGACATTGACTCCCTGAAGAAGCCAATGTTAGTTTAATGCCAGAGACATAAAACAACAGATCAGTCTAACAAAGTGCCCACCTCTAGAATTTTCATATAAAAAAAAATTTTTTTTTGCAACCGTTGAAGAGAGCCTCTTAAGTTACACCCGATAGCTTTTCTTGTGGCTAATACTCTGTAGTCAAATCTAATCAAAAGGCCAGATTATTCTGAGAGATCACTCACTGATATAACTAATAGTAGAAGTATTATTACCAATAGAGACAGTTGGAGCAAAAAGTAAATTAGGCTTCTGCTTAGAGCAAATAGAAAAAAGGTTCCAGGGTTAATGCCACCTCTGATCTTATGGCAAACATAGTGATAACAGGTTGTATCAGTGACACAGTGGTAAGAAGGATTCTGAGGGCTTGTTAAGTCACCTTGTGCTTTGGATAAATCATGGGAAATTACAGAATTTGTTACCCCTCACTAGGGCCTCAAATATACACAGGCCTGACTGAAAGATAACAAATTATATCCTCAAAAGTCAACTTTGGGAGAAATGTAGCTTTCTTATTTGGTGAAACAGTAGGGGTGGCTTAGAATTCCAGTGAATGAAGGAAAAGAGTATGAACTTGATTTGCGTCTCTCCAAGACTGAGAGACAACAGGCCTGAAGTTCAACCTTGCCTAGAGCCTCACCAACCCAAGAGCAGTCTTGGCTGCTGGGTAAGATAGGTGTTTATATCTTGACTACATCTTTCTGTTCTGAGTGTTCCAGGGTTGGATGGCTGCATCTCTGCCTGGGAACACTCATCTAACTGCCTCTGGAAACTCAGATGGATCAGAGGGGAACTGGGAAACTCCTGAGTTCAAAGCAGAAAAGCAGTCTCTTACACCATTTCTCTTTCATTTTCCTTCCCCACATGCCAGTGTTGGAGGAATTTCTAAAAGATCTTAAACTAGAATAACGTCCCCAAGAGGTCAACTTTGGTGAAGTAATACTGTAATATAAGGGTAATACATCCACAAATTAAACCAGGACAGGGAGTAGATAGGGAGATATCACAATCTTTGACCTTTCAGAAGCCATGGAAAAGACTCTTTGTCACTGGATTTAGCAATAGACACGCTGAGAATTTGAACAGTCCCAGGATCGCATACACCTGTAGGTTGTCCTCCACGATAATTCACATGATGATGTCAGCTTTGTGACCCAGTTATTTCAAAGATCTGGTCACAGTACAGGAGAAGCTTTTAAAAAGTGAGCATTAAAAAGAAGAATGAAAAAAAAAGGGAAAAAAGGAAAAAATAAGTCAAGTGAATTCACTTGAATACAATTAAAGGGAAACTCCACTTTTACTCAAAATTTTACTGGCAGAATTCTCTTGTTATTTTGCTTAACTTTAGACCTACAATCAATGTTAGGCATATGGGGGTGTAACATATCAAGGCAGGATACCTAACTAGCAAAGCATGCAAAAAATAATCTTATAAAAGATGTCTTCTTTTTCTTCTTTATTGTTGTCTTTCTCTCTTTATTGTTTTTTCTCTTTTAGAATTTTACCCACTTATCTGGAGTTGGAGAAAGGTGTGATACCCCAGCAAATCTTTTAGCTAAAGGATGTCAACTAACCTTCATCGAAAACCCTGTCTCCCAAGTTGAAATACTTACAAATAAGCCTCTCAGCGTAGGCAGACAGAAAAATAGCTCCAACATCGTTCAGATTTCACCTCAAAGGTTGGCTCTTAAACTGAGACCAGGTATGTTATGATTTGCACAATCACCTGCTCATGTAAATAAATCTAATGTCATATATATGCTGCGTTGTGCTTAGTCGCTCAGTTGTGTCCAACTCCTTGTGGCCCCATGGACTGTAGCCCGCCGGTCTCTGTTCATGGGGATTCTCCAGGCAAGAATACTGGAGTGGGTCACCATGCCCTCCTCCAAGAACGTCACATATAATAATACAGCTACTCCATTAATATGCCTTGTACCATATTACATGTCATTGTTTATTATGACTCAGATTTCCCATTCTTAAGGACATAAAGAATCGCGAGGCTAACACTCTTCTTTATTCACATTGGTCACTTTGGACTCCAAATGTGTTACCAAAAATAGCCTTATCTAATAGCAACCGTTTGAATTACTCAAATGTTGTTAAGGCTTACCTCACATTTCTTCAAGGGTTGTAATGTAGCTTTAAGCACCTCTTTATTTTCTTCTTTTCTAAACCCACATACAAAAAAAAAATCAGCTTATCTTTCATCTAAATGGATGCTAGTTCTCCCAAGGAGATATAAAATATCCCAACTTTCACCTCCTTCAGTTGCTCTAAATTCATGGGTGAAAGATATCCATGGTTGGTTCCTTTATAAAGTTAGCCACATAGTGTATGAACTGCAAGTATCTCTGGTAAGTTCTTATTGAAATGAAATAGCTAGTGACAGTTCTAGTCACAACTAAGTCTCCATGGGTTTTTATGGATCATCTTTTCTTGCGAGGGTGTTGCAGGCCTTGAACAGACCCTGCAAGTTCAAGTTCGCCAGACCGAGGATTACCCTGTGGATTTGTATTATCTCATGGACCTCTCGGCCTCCATGGACGACGACCTCAACACCATCAAAGAGCTGGGCTCCCTGCTCTCCAAGGAAATGTCTAAATTAACCAGCAACTTTAGACTGGGCTTTGGTTCTTTTGTGGAGAAACCCGTCTCCCCTTTTGTGAAAACAACACCAGAAGAAATGGCCAACCCTTGCAGGTAAGTAAATGATTTTCTGTGATCTTCAAACACTGATTTCCTATAGAGAAAGTCTTGCTCTGAGCTGAGCTTGGCAGGAGTTTGCTGGTTCCCTGGCAGTTCCTTCCCATCTGATTGGATGTCAGCAGCTCTCAGTTGCCCAGGTTGTTCAGAACTAAAGGGATGTCATCCTTTTTTTTTTTTTTTAAGTAAACTATTATGTTTACTTAAAAGTTCATTTATTTTGTACTGAAGTAAAGCCAGTTAACAATGCTGTGATAGTTTCAGGTGGATGGACAGCAAAGGAACTCAACCATACATATACACATTTCCATTCTCAAGCAGACGTCACTGTAATACATAAATCCCCTACAGACAAATGAGTTCTGTTTTGAGAGCGCATTCGTAAGTTCACTTTCTAAGTCCAACAAAGTTAGTCTAGGTACCCAACTAACACAATCAGCTATCTAGTACTGTACTGTAATATGTATATAAAACTTCTCACACAAATAACACCTAAAAACTAACAAACACAAAAAATAAACATTTTTAATCTTATAGTAAAGTACCTTGAAAAGTACAGTAGTACAGTAAAAATTGGGCATACAGGGGCATGTTTGCATCTTTGAAAGTTCACAACTTGAAGGTTTGTATGTACACGATTTACTGTATCCAGTTCTAGCTTGGGTCTTCACAGCATTTGCCATATTTGCCTCCCTTTGGAAGGCAGGCTGTGACAAATTTGGATTTGTATTCTGCAGACACAGGGACAGAATCTTTTACTGTAGGTTCCACTGGCCTGAGCCCATTTTCAGCCCCTCAGAGGCTTTTTATCCTCAATGACCACCACTCTCTGAGGCTATTGACACTAAGTCACATTTTCTCAGAGTATCTGTCTCTACAACAATGACGGCTGCCAAAATAGCAGCATTTGGAGTAATTTCTAATGTACTTTGGGAAATGTGACTTTCTCTTATTGCTTGGAGAATGCCTTTGTAGCCTTTACTGCTATCAAATTCAGTAGGAAATGAAGCAGTGGCTCCATTATAATATGCTCTAATCAGTTACTAAAACCGTGTATTATATGGGTGATGGTCAAAGGTAAGTTGCTTTGTGATAGCTTACCTCTACATGTCAATGACATGGTCAAAATAAAAGTATTTTATATCCTTCTTTTGAAAAAGAACTTCCATTTGCTCTGTGCCAGATCCTATGCTAAAGGTTTTATGTACATGACCTCATTCAGTCTTCATAATAACTTCAGGTCAAAGCAGGTTCCATCATCTCTATATTGAGAGGAAGTAACAAAGTCTGTGAGAAGTTAGTAATTTACCTGTAGCAGCATGACTAATCAGTGATCTATACCAAGATCTGGGTTGGTCCAAAACCAAGCCTTTTACTACTCTGAATCTGGTATAGATGAAATGGCTTTCCAAACATGTATTGACTTTTAACACTAGTTTACACCAACCAGTTAATCTCTATAAAACAGTTTTTGCAGTATCATTTTAAGACATTTCGATGTGGTTCCAAACTAGAATCTGATGGCCAAAAGTGTTTTGACCTTGAAAAGAATTCATCACTGATTGCAACTCCTAGGAATTGTGTTTGATTGCAAATATCAGAGATAATATTTGTCCCCAGTCCCCCACTTCTCAAGGTATAATTGACATGAACTAAAATACACACAGCAGAAATGTTCAATTTCATGAGTTTTGACAATTGAATACATCGATGTGATCACCACTTAAAACATGACATAGACCAATTCCATCACCTCAGAAAGTTTCCTTATGCCCCTTTATAGTCAGTTCTGCTTTCTCAGAGGCAACCATTTTCTGATTTCTATAAGTTAGATTGGTTTTGCCTACTCTTGGATTTCACATGAATGGAAAATATGCTATACACCTTTTGTATCTAGCTTCTTTTGCTCAACATCATGTTTTTGAGATTCATCCCTGATTTCATGTTTATCAGCAGTTTCTTCCCTTTTGTCTTAAGTAATAGTCCCTTGTACAAATTTATTATACTTTATCTGTCCATTGATGAACATTTGGGTTGTTTCCCAATTTCTGGCCATTATGAAAAAATATTGCTATGATCACTTGCATATATGTCTCTGTGTGGATGTATGTTTTTATTTTTCTTGGATAGATATCTAGAATTAGAATTGCTAAATTGTATGATTATTTTTTATTTTGATGAAGCCCAATTTTTAATTTTATGATAGTGTATTTTTTTTGTCCTAAGACATCTTTGTTTACCCTAATGTCTCAAAGATTCCTCCTATGCTTTCTTCTAAAAGCTTTGTGGTTGAAGCACTTGCATTCAGGTCTTTGATCTCAAATTAGTGTTTCTGTTTAGAATGAGGAAAAGTCTAGGTTTATCTTTTGTTTACATGCAACTATCCAATTGTTTCAGCACTATTTGTTAAGCAAGTTTCTCCTTTCCCCATTGAAATATCTTGATGTTTTTCTTAGAAAGCGATTAACTGTATGTGTGTCTAATTCTGGACATTCTGTTCTAAACTGCTGATTCATTAAATATACTCATGTAATCATGTACCTACTCATCTACTCACTCATAATGTCACCTTAGGGGAACCACTTCACTTCTCCAAACTTTAGTTTGGAATAACGATACCGATCACACCGAGGGGGTTGTAAGGAGTGTGTAAGATAATGAAAGGAAATATTTGATACTGAGCTTGTCCATGAAGCTCTCACTAGGTGGTAGCTACTATCAATACCAATAGAGTGGGGTAAAGGGAGGCCTAGTTGTGGTTGTTCAGCCACCCAGTCATGTACGACTCTTTGCAACCCCATCAACTGCAGCACGCCAGGCTTCCCTGTCCTTGACCATCTCCCGGAGCTTGCTCAAACTCATGTCCATTGAGTTGGTAACGCAATCCAACCATCTCATCCTCTGTCATCCCCTTCTCCTCCTGCCTTCAATCTTTCCCAGCATCAGGGTTTTCTCCAGTGAGTCAGTTCTTTGCATCAGCTGGCCAAAGTATTGGAGTTTCAGCTTCAGCATCAGTCCTTCCAATGAATACTCAGGGTTGCTTTCCTTTAGGATTGACTGGTTTGATCTTGCAGTACAAGGGACTGTCAAGAGTCTTCTCCAACACCACAGTTCAAAAACGTCAATTCTTCAGCACTTGGCCTTCTTCATGATCCAACTCCCACATCCACACATGACTACTGGAAGGGAGGCCAGAGCCCTGCACAAATTACAGTGAATAGGAACCTTAATGAGGATCACATATTTGAGCACTTGAAACGTCAGTGTTTTCCTGTTTTCAAGAGGTGTTTCTCTTATTCTTATTGGCAAAATTTACCATTAGCTAAAGTGATAAATAATGAAAATTTTTTTGCTGCAATATTATATTTTTTCTTTTTTAATCATGTCCTTAATTCTCCAAGTTTCTCTGTCCAGATTCTACTCCCCACACACTTACACACCAAAAATTCAAACACCAACACAAGAGTCAATCCTTTGATCAATCCAAACCCTATAATTAAGAAATAAAATGTTCTTTAGTACAAAGGTTAAGAGAAGTAAAAGGAAAAAACATGGAGTTTTCCAGACCTGGGCTTAAATCATAACCTTGGAATGCCAGTCTCTTCATTTATAAATGGGGATAATAATATTCACTTCCTGGGCTATCATGAGAACTGAGTAGGCTGGAACATAATAGACATTCAAATCCAGTTTTAATTTCCTTCCTCTCATTAATGCTAATTTTCTCTAGTTATTTTAATCTAATGGTCCTGAAACTTTTAGATCTCAGAACTTTCTTACACTTCTAAAAATTAAGATCCTCAAAATATCAATATTCAGTGTCTTAGAGTATAAAACTAAGAAAATATAAAAATAATTAGCAATTAATTTATTTGATAATTACAATGAAAAACACACTGCATGTTACCATAATAACATACCTTTAGAAAAAATAACTACATTTTCCAAAATAGAACAACAGTTAACAAGAAAAATGGCACTATTTTAATTTTTACAAATCTCTTAAAATATCTAATTTAAAAGAAGCCAACTGAATTTTTACATCTGCTGCTTCATTTAATCTCTGGTAATATTTTATTTTGGTTAAATTCCATGAAGGAAGTCAAACCTCATGTAGATATATAGTTGAAAAAGGGGAAAGCAATTAATAGATTTCTGCAATGGCTGTAGACCTTTCTTCTTTGATATTACATTCAAACTGGACAAGAGGTAAATTACGTTTCAGTGTAGAATCTGAAAAACATGTCAATGAACTTCCTATTTTGTTACATTAAAAACCATTGATCTGTTTTGCACTTTGAATGGCTTAAAAATTTTCTTTTTATTATTATTTTTTTTGGCTCTGTTGGGTCTTTGCTGCTGCATGCAGGCTTTCTCTAGTTGCAGAGAGCAGGGGTTACTCTCTAGCTGAGGTGTGTGGGCTTCTTGTTGCTGTGGCTTCCTTTATTGTAGAGCACAGGCTCTATCTGGGGTGCAGACTCAAGTAGCTGTGGTACACAGGTTTAGTTGCACTGTGGCATATGGGATCTTCCTGGAGCAGGGCTTGAACCTGTGTCCCCGCTTTGGCAGGCAGATTCTTTAACCACTGGACCACCAGGGAAGAGCCTAAATGGCTCTTTCATTGGTGTGTGTGTGCATGTGGTTTTGTAACATAATGCTTTGGTCATTTGGAAAACGAAGTTTCAGTGAGTTATGTAGATCTTAAAATTTCATGATAGAATATCTAAAAAATTATATTTGTTAATATTATCATTAATCCCATCAGATAAGTCTTGAAGTACTTAGAAGCTGTCAATGGGTAGCAGATGAAAGTTTTGTGAAATTCTAACTTTCTAATTATGTCAAATTTCATCATTGGCAACAAATACTGATAGCTGTTTTCCTGAAAGTAACAGACTTACTTTCTTCATTTTAATGAAGATGTCTGCCAAAAACTTAAGTTGAAATGATGGTTTGGCTGTCAAGCATTTTTTCAGGTAAAATTGTTGTTCCATAAACAACAGTTCAAACAACCATGAAATGCTTTTCCATTGTAAACATGTACTTCAGTATACAGCAGTAACACTGTATGCATGTTTCCTATGTGGTCACACAGAAATAATTTGCAAAAAACATGTATCCAAGAGCATACACTTAATAAAATTGAACCTGTGTCCCACTCCAGAACCCAACCCACTCCAATATTCTTGCCTGGAAAATCCCATGGACAGAGGAGCCTGGTGGTCTACAGTCCATGGGTTGCAAAGAGTTGGACACAACTGAGTGACTAACACACACAGCTTCATCAAGGGCAATCAAGTGAAAGTAGCCCTTTTTTTTGTTGTTGTTATCATGAATGTTTGATGGTAAAAAATATAAGGAACACTAGGCAGTTTGGAGCCATTGCCTTGACCTGTGCTAAGGCACCAGCAGTTTTACTAACTCTTACTTTGCATCATCAGTGAAAATGTCAACAGTGAAAAAGACAAATATTATCTCTTATTATTATGAAGAGCATTTGACCTGAAAAACTCTTAAATGGTCTCAGGGACCTCTGTGGGTCTGCACACCGCACTTTTAAAACCTTGTTTTAATCTATTCTCTAGTGCTTTTTGAAGTAGTTTGTTTTCTCTACCTTCATTAGATGGAAGGTCACTAAAAATTTCACCATGTAGGAAGCCTGAATAGTTTACATTTTTGAAAGAAGTTTCCCTTACGTTATTGTCTAAGACACAGCAATAAAAATTTTCCATATTTTTAATGAATTGTAATTATATATATATTTAAAAATATTTAACAGGACAAAGAAAATTTTCTCCATCAAATATTTTGAAGGATTTTTATAAACAATATTTCACATTTAATTTGGTGTTTTATTTTGTTTTTGAAGACTTGAACCAAGAGGAATTCATTGTAGTTTTGCAAAGAAGAAAACTCAACCATGAATGTTTAGACTTCCTATAGGTACACACAAAAAATGAGTATATAATTTTAAATTGCAAAGGTAATAAGACTATGTGAAAATACAGACATAAAAAATGGAAATCATTTCTAATTCTACTAAAAATGATGGTGTTAACCTTTTGTTATATATCTTTATAGTCAGCAATAAATAATTCCTTCAATTGCTATCTAAGAAAATAACAACTAAATATAAGCATTCTTTATAGGAAGAACTCTGACCAAAACGGACAGCCTCCACTCAAAATTTCTTGATGTGACCCAGCTCTGACATTATACTTTACTTAAGCTACATTCATATCTCAGCACATGAATATGTTTATTGAATTAATAAAAAATGTATTCTCATTTCCAAAAGATTAGAGTTCTAGTAAGAACTACATCGGAGAAGGCAATGGCAACCCACTCCAGTGTTCTTACCTGGAAAATCCCATGGACAGAGGAGCCTGGTAGGCTGCAGTCCATGGGGTCACTAGGAGTCAGACACGACTGAGCATCTTCACTTTCACTTTTCACTTTCATGCATTGGAGAAGGAAATGGCAACCCACTCCAGTGTTCTTGCCTGGAGAATCCCAGGGACGGAGGAGCCTGGTGGGCTGCCGTCTATGGGGTTGCACAGAGTCGGGCACGACTGAAGCGACTTAGCAGCAGCAGCAGCAAGAACTACATAGCAAATAATTCTAACCAACAAAGATACAAATTTCTGACCAGACGATAGGAATTCTAGTTCTCTGGCTCCAGAAGAGGCTCTAAAGGCATTTTGATACAGTATGAACCAACAGCCCCCAATAAAATATTAAACAATTTCCAAGACTAGCTTCTCTGGTTGGCTCAGACGGTAAAAATCTATCTGTAATGCAGGAGGCCAGGATTTAATCCCTGGGTTAAGAAGATCCCCTGGAGAAGGGAATGACTACCCACTACTGCATTCTTGCCTGGAGAATTCCATAGACAGAGGAGCCTGGAGGGCTACAGTCCATAGGGTCACAAAGGGTAGGACATAACTGAGCAACTAACACTTTCACTTTCAAGACTAGTTGGGCTCCAGGGACTATGTAAACCTCAAAACACAGTTCTATACTTTTTATAAAATACTTTTTATGTAATTTCCGCAGCAACTTTAGAAGTAGCTATTATTAGCACCCTCATTTTATAGATGAGGACACTGAGGTCCAAGGATAGATAACTATTCAGTCTTTTTATTCTAAATCTAACGCAACTTTCTTCTACTTTAAATATTATAGAGGCAATTCAGAAAAATGCTAAATTATTATCATTTTGTAGGTTGACTTTTTAAAAATTCTTCATTTCACGTTTTAAAATACATTTCATTTTTGAAGGTGGGAAAAACTTGACTACATAAAAAGTTTTAAGGTATATATACCCAAGAACATTGTAAACTGAATTTAAAAATTACCAAGGAAAAAGTTTCATATTTTTGATAGATAGAGTTCTTAAAATCATTAGAAAACTAAAAAAATACCTCATTAAGGAAATGGGACATCTCAGACTGTACCATTCAATGCTACGGAACTCAAACTCCCCTTGTACTGAAGCCTGAGAATACATCAGCTTATGGCCCACTTTTTGTGAAAGTCTACTGACAGGGAGTAAATGATTATCCTTGCAGACACCAGCATTCTGGTTCTGGCAGAGCTCCATTTCTCAGTGTAAATAAATCCGTAATCATTTCGACTTGTATATCTAGTTGATTCTCAACATTTACGGAAGTCTTGTTCTGTAAAGTCTCCTCAAATCCTGCATTAGAGAATGCTGAATATTGCTCTAAGGGGAAACACAGGGCTAGGTTCCTGCGAATCTCTGGTCACTTTTTCAGCCAGGGAGCAATAACTTTTGTTTTCTCCATGTTCCTGTTTAAAGATGTCTTATTTAATATATACTGTTGATTTGTTAGCATTGAAATCACAACCAAGAGCACTGTAACTCAGGTTAGAACAAAGTTTGGCTCACACATGTATTTTCCCCATAAGACACATCACAGTCTTCCTGCACTTAGGAATACCAGACAGCATTTGAGCACCACACTGGGGGGCAACTCTAAACAACAAAATCATCCAAAAGCACAAAAATGCAAACACACATGTCACCAAATAGACCCTGAAAAGAATATTTCTTTACAGTATGGGAGATGAAGCAAGAAGTCAGAGTCTTATTTGACCTCCTCTGGAAACATGCATATCAAGTGACTCAACTTTTTTGTACACTAATTCATGTACATGAATGATTGAAGAAGTTCTGAAAGGATTGATTTGGGGGTCATAAATACATTTTAGCAATATGAATTTTCAAAGATATGGAATCTGTGAATAATGAGAATTGACTATATACCTTAGGTAGATGAATTTGGTGAAATAGAGCCAAATCCTGAAAGCTGCATCAGCTCTTTGTATGCTGACAAGGCAGGCTCTTGAACTTGCCAAGCTGCTCATGTAAGTCAACCAGCTCTTCCCAGGCAGCACACCGCAACCTCATTCGTGGCTATTTCTTTTTGTCTCTGTGCTTCTCCACCAGTGTTTCTCAAACTTTGGAATGCATCAGAAAGACTTGGCTCAACACAGGTCTCTCAACCCATTCCTACCAGTTCTGACTTAGAAGGTCTGTAGTCACACCTCAGATTTTGCATTTATAGCAAGTTCCCATGTGACGCTCATGCTGTTGGTCCAAGGACCACACTTTGAGAAACTGCTGTACATTATTAGCTCCACTTCACAAAGGAAAACCCGAAGCTCAGAAGGGTTGAGTACTTGCTCAAAATCTCATGTACAACTACTAGCTGGCTTTCAGAATAAAATGTGACTGAATTCAGGATCAACAATTTCTGTTCTACTGTGATGTCTTTAGGGCAGATCTCATCCAAACATGGAATTTCCCCCAAATGTAAACTGTCTTTAGTAGTGGTTTTACCCCAGGTTGGCCCACATGGTCTGTTCTATCACAATAAAGTTGGGCTCCAGAATCGAGAGACTTAGTCTGATTTTCAGGCCCTGGGCAGGCAGGACTGAGCAGAGGAAGAAGACAGATTCCTCTCTTAGTCTTGCTATAGGATGACATCCTTGATGACAATTTAAGCTATCAGAATACAAAAGAATTGTTGTCATCATGTAAACTTAATGGTGGGCTTTGGTTGAGAGACAATAGAAGGTAGTGGCTACATACACGGAGCATCTGATCACCAGATTATCTGTTTTCTGTGAACCAATGCAAGACACACAGCAATCTCTTTGTGTTAGCTAATGTGACCCATTTGGAAGGGGTGGGTAGGAGATGATAAAACAACCTTAACAGTGAGACTCAGAGCCAAGTTATAGAGTTAGGCACTTTAGGAAATGCATCTTCATGGAAGGAAATGCTGTTAGGCTATTAAACCCATTCATTGTGTGTTTTATCATATTTCATCAAGAATATTTTACATCTTCCTTTTGCAGTAGTATTCCATACTTTTGTTTGCCTACATTTGGATTCAAGCACATTTTGCCATTGACAAATGATACTGAAAGATTCAATGAAATTGTGAAGAATCAGAAAATTTCTGCTAATATTGACACTCCAGAAGGTGGATTTGATGCAATTATGCAAGCTGCTGTGTGTAAGGTATGCTGAGATTGAGCGGTGCTTCATTCTGTTAACCCAGATTTCATCTCTTGTGAACAAATCTTTGAAAAGCTTAGCTAACTTTATCTTTCCTTTAGTGACCATATTTCTACAACAGATATTTTTCTTAAAACACACCATTTATTCCATCTTGTTGAAATGAGGACAATTTCTATGCCTCATGTTCAAATCATCTAATAAAATTGTAATACTGTTGGGAAAAATTGGTTAAAAGAAGTCATATATAAATAATTCTCAAAGATCGAGATCAGGAATTTCCCTGGCATTCCAGTAGTTAAGACTCTGTGTTCCTACTGCAGGGGGGTGTGTGTTTGATCCCTGATTATGGAACTAAGATCCCACATGCTGTGTGGTGCAGACAAAAAAATAACAGAGATGTAGGTTGTATTCATTAGTTTTTGAGCTAACCATGGTGAAAAAAAAATCAAATGTAGCAATTAATGAAATTAATGAAAAGTAAAAATGCTCTGATTCAGAATAAAATTGTACATACGATGAGCTAGCTATTGTTTTGAACCAACAAAATAAACATCAAAAGCCACAGTGTCTCTACAATAATGCTTGAATACCTCTCCTCCTTGACAATCAGACACATAACCATGGGAACAATTCTCCTGTTTTCAGATGACTTTCATGGAAAATATCAGGAAATGATAAGCCTGAGGGTCCTAGAACATGGGAGGGCCAAGGAATTAGGGAAGGAAGGAAAAAGATAAGGTACAAGGGGATAACTGCAATGAACTTTGTCCTGCTAGTTTCTGGTGCAATGGTGGTGGTGAGGTTTAGTCACTAAGTCATGTCTGACTCTTGTGACCCCCATGGACTGTAGCCCACCAGGCTCCTCTGTCCATGAGATTCTCCAGGCAAGAATACTGGAGTGGGTTGCCACTTCCTTCTCCAGGGGATCTTCCCGACCCAGGAATCGAACCTGCATCTCCTGCATGGCAGGCTTATTCTTTACTGTTGAGCGACCAGAGAAGCTGACTAGTTCTTCGACAAATCTTAATTAAAGGGGAGAGCTGTATGAAGAAACAGACAACAGACCATCTTAACTAGCAGTTAGCAGTACTCTGCATTCATACTTTGATAAGCAATTCTTATCCTTGTATTATGTTGATAATTTTTGGATGGTAACAGTAAAAAGAGAAATATGTCTTTTTCACTCAAAAAGAGAAATATTTCTTTTTCCTAGAAATATGCCTACAGGTGGGGTGAAATCTTAATAGGCTTACTTCAAGTCCATTCTGTATTGCATTCTTAACTAGTTTTGCTTTAGCTTGGATTTGGGATAATCTACAACCTCCCTCACTCCCTTCTCTCATTTTTCTGGTAAATTAAAAGCTGGACAGTAAAAATAATTAACTATGTAAAAGTCAAGATCAACTGGATACTGATTGTAGTGGAACTATTTTTTCTGAAGCATAAATCATCTGAAAATGTAATCCAGGATAAAACAAATGTCTCATAATTTAATTTTTAATACATTAATATTACCAACTCACAATAGATGAAAAAGTCTAAAATAGACTGACTAGCAATATATTTTCTGATCATCTGAATGTGTCCAAGCATAAGTGAGTCACTCTCAATAAATGCCTGTCTCTCTTCCATACAAGCCAAATGCTTCTTTATCATTGTAGGAAAAAATTGGCTGGCGGAATGATTCCCTCCATCTCCTGGTCTTTGTGAGTGATGCCGACTCTCATTTTGGAATGGACAGCAAACTGGCAGGCATTGTCATTCCTAATGATGGGCTCTGTCACTTGGACAGCAAGAATGAATACTCCATGTCAACAGTCTTGGTGTGTAACCTATACTCTACATACACTGTTTTCAGGGCTACAAGTAGGCAAATGAAGCAACAGTTGCTGTACCACACAGCAGAGTGACCCACACTTAGTAGAAATGTGATTTGAGGTTTCTGATTTGAGGTTAACAGATTGGCCTTTCTCAATTCTCCTCGCCCTTGGAGGTTCCCATAGGAGCACAGGGGGGCAGTGGGGATATGTGATAAGTTCAGATTTGCTATAACACGAATGATTCCAGAACCTCCCCAATTTTTCAAAGAGCCAGAGGGCAGCAAAATGCAATATAGTCAGTTCATTCTGTTTGAACCACAGCCCTAGAAAGGAAGGCTCAGGCTAACCCTAGGAGTGATGGTCCCAGAGTCATGTTCCCTCAATAATTCCAGGTTTTCATGGACCCTGGGGCTCTTGGGAAACCACTAATCAGGTGCTGCTCGACCAGTGCTTATTACATTTGACTTATTTTTATCACTTAAAAAATGCTGGTGACATTCAAAGAAAAAAAAAAAACTTGACTTTTTAAAACAAGGTAAAAATCTCAGAGCTCTTTTGATGTATATGATCTGATTTGATCCTCACCAGAACCCTGTGTGTCTAATTGCTTCCCTTGAACAGACCATGAGGCTGCCATGCTGCTGCGTATGTTATTCCCTCTGTCTGAAATGCCCTTTCCCCCGAGGCTGCTGAGAAGCTCTTACTGATCTTTTAAAACCCAGCTCCATCATGACTTCTCTGGGGAAGGGGGAGGTCCTTGTTTGACGTCCACTGTGCCCCAAAGCAATCATCTCTCCCAAGCTCTTGTATATAGAGGGCTTCTTGACCATCACTAGGTGAAATGTGTTTGCTGGTATCTGTCTGCCTTTAACATGCATCCTCAGTGCCAGAACTGGTTTATTATCCCTATTTCCTGAAAGCACAGTGCTTGGAACATGCTAACATACAATTGAATTATTGAGTAGTAATCTGGAAAAGGTCATATTAATCCCCATTTAATCCTTGGGAAAATATGGTACAGAGAATTTAAGTGACTTCTTAAAATGACAATGCTACAGAGGTATATGTAGGACAGAGAAAGACAAAGGAAAGAGAATGCAGAATTTTAATATCAGGTTGGAAAAACCATTCTCTAAAAAAATTTAAGTGAGATAATGTATAGAAATGTTTACTATAGTATTGGCAATTAGTTTTTAAAAATCTAATGGTTCATTTGGCTTAAAGCTCAACATTCAGAAAACTAAGATCATGGTATCCGGTCCCATCACTTCATGGCAAGTAGATGGGAAACAGTGGAAACAGTGGCTGACTTTATTTTTGGGGGCTCCAAAATCACTGCAGATGGTGATTGCAGCCATGAAAAGACGCTTACTCCTTGGAAGGAAAGTTATGACCAACCTAGACAGCATATTTGGAGAAGGCAATGGCACCCCACTCCAGTACTCTTGCCTGGAAAATCCCATGGACAGAGGAGCCTGGTGGGCTGCAGTCCATGGGGTCACTAAGAGTCGGACACGACTGAGCGACTTCACTTTCACTTTTCACTTTCATGCATTGGAGAAGGAAATGGCAACCCACTCCAGTGTTCTTGCCTGGAGAATCCCAGGGACAGGGAGCCTGGTGGGCTGCTGTCTATGGGGTCGCACAGAGTCGGACACGACTGAAGCGACATAGCAGCAGCAGCACCAGCAGACAGCAGAGACATTACTTTGTCAACAAAGGTCCGTCTAGTCAAGGCTATGGTTTTTCTAGTGGTCATGTATGGATGTGAGAGTTGAACTATAAAGCTGAGTGCTGAAGAATTGATGCTTTTGAACTGTGGTGTTAGAGAAGACTCTTGAGAGTCCCTTGGACTGCAAGGAGATCCAACCAGTCCATCCTAAAGGAGATCAGTCCTGAGTGTTCGTTGGAAGGACTGATGCTGAGGCTGAAACTCCAATACTTTGGCCACATGATACGAAGAGCTGATTCATTTGAAAAGATCCTGATGCTGGGAAAGACTGAGGGCAGGAGGAGAAGGGGATGACAGAGGATGAGATGGTTGGATGTCATCACTGACTCAATGGACATGAGCCTGTGTAAATTCCGGGAGTTGGTGATGGACAGGGAGGCCTGGCGTGCTGCAGTTCATGGGGTCGCAAAGAGTCGAACATGACTGAGAGACTGAACTGAACTGAACTGAATGGTTTGTAAATTACCTGCTACCATTTCTTGACCTAAATCTCTGAACTTCCACATGGATGTTTCTACCTAACTTTTGATCAATGTGCTTAGTCTCTAGGTCATGTCCAGCTCTTTGCGACAGCATGGACTGTAGTCCACCAAGCTCCTCTGTCCATGGGGATTCTCCAGGCAAGAATACTGGAGTGGGTTGCCATGCCCTCCCTCCAGGGGATTTTCCCAACCCAGGGATTGAACCCAGGTCTCCCACATTTGAGGCAGTTTCTTTACCATCTGAGTCACCAGGAAAGCCCAACTTTTGATCAGTAGTGTTCATCAAATTTATATATGTTTTAATCATGTAGGTTGTCCTTCCATATTATAAGGTCAGTGAGGGTAGCCACATTTTTGCACTTTGGCCAATGAGGGATAAGAAACTGAGAAATGTATACTTTTCTTGTTACTTTTTTCTTGCAAATATTCAAATGCCCCATAATAGACATCTCAGAAAACACAGGAAAACAGAGCAAATAGTGCCTGTTACCTGATATGACCTTCTCCTCTAATACCCGTTCGAATCATTCTTGCTGAGCAAGCTGCTACAATGCACAGAGTTGTGGGCTAGTTCCTTGCCTGTAACATAGTCCCCAGGGCCTTTGAGCACCTCCTATGCAGTCAACACTGGGCCAGCCTCCTGGGGCCGCAAAATAACAGGACATGATCCCAGGCCTTGAGGAACTTACAATGTATTTGTGGGAGTTAAACCAGCATATCTGGACCAAATAGAAAGTCATATTCACCTGCCTATGGAGGGCTCCATGGTGCCATCCTGGCTAGACAAGCACAGTGATTGGATGGTTGAAAAACATATGGAGAGGAGAAAGCAGCACCAGAGGAATTCAGGCTTAAGGGTGAAGGATACTTAATGTTTGGGCAATTGAAACTCAGAGGAGGCTGAGAATGTCAGACTGAGGAAGCTTTATACCATCTGGATTCTACTGATATCCTGTAATAAAAAAAATCCAAACGGGATAGAAAGCATGCATTACACAGCCAGATCTGCAGTTAGGTAACTGACCTGAGTATCTTAGACAAAATTATTCTTTCCTCTCAACTTGAATGAAGAACATATTAGAAAAATATTCCTGAAGTGCTGAGAATATATGCAGGGAGCACGTTCACGTACAAGAAGGCCTGCTTGTCAGTGTTCCTGTACTTGAGCTGTCTGCAGCATAACCAACATAGTTAACTTGTCTTAGTTGACTTGTTTGCAGACCACTCCCTAATGTGAGTTTCCCTTTTGTATATTACCCACCTTTGAGTCAGGCCAGGCAAATGGGCTTCATGTTTTCTAGTCTTGGAAAGTGAAGGTCATCTGCCAATATGATAATTAATGACTTTATTTTTTAAAATGCTCATATCACTCAGGAATGACTGCCTCAATGAATAGAAAGAAACTGAGTACAACATGCTTTCAATTGCCCTGTAAAAATTGCAGCATCCCATAAAACCAGTTCATGACATCAAAAAGGCAGTAGGAGCAAACCAGAGAATTGCACAGGGACATCTCAAGTCAGAGGAATTCAGGAATTGCAGTGTCCTTCCTCAGCAGGCTCGCTCCTGCTCAACCCTCACCCTGCCCCATCCAATTCCAGTCAGAGCTGCAAGGGTCACCTGGGTCACATTCATCACAGTCTAACAGCTCCTCCCTCAGTTCTAACCTCCCCAACAATATAAGCCTGCTGGCAAGTGGCACTTAGAAGAAGACATGCGCCTCTACCCTTGAAAAGATGACACATTGTAAGTCTTTAAATAAGTTTAGTGATCTTTTTGGAGGCGACAGAGCATAATACTCCACACTGACAGGCACTGACTCTAAGGAATTAAATGGACTTACAAGATCTGGGAAACAATTACTAAACCAATCATGAAAATAATGCTAATTGTGTATCTGTTTACTTGGCATGATAGACACAATAATGCCTGTGAGAACTGAAATGCCAAACTCAGTAAGATATTTCTGAAAGAAATATTCCCTTATTTTATATAGTTTTGTTAAGAAGATACTTAAAATCTATGTGTTAAATTTTAGGAATATCCAACAATTGGACAACTCATTGATAAACTGGTGCAAAATAACGTGTTACTGATCTTTGCTGTAACCCAAGAACAAGTTCACTTGTATGAGGTAAGCAAACATAATTCGGGAAATTCCTTCAGGGAGATTATTTGACATGAAACTTTAACTGAGTTTAATACATGGGAGACCATTAGATAATTATTAACACATACCAGATATACTGGACACTGGCAAAGTGGATTCAGATACTGTTTGCAATTTAAATTATAAACACAGAGGTACAACAAGGAGTGGGGGACAGATATGATATGAAGAGGAAGAGTTATGGAAATGAAAAGTTGGAAGACAGTACTAATTAGCATAGTTAAATAGGATCACCTATCTAATGGAAGATCAATCTATCTTTCCTTCAACTTTTCATCTGATGAGGAAAGAGTTAACAGAAAGCAGAGGAAATTATGAGAATGGGAGGAGAATTTACTTAAACTCTCTGACATTTGCAAATTCAATGTATAGAAAATACACAAGTGGAGAGATATAATTTAAACTTTTGAGACATGAAAAAGCTTGTTAAACTGGGCCCCCAAATAATTTCTCCTTCAAAGTATCTGAATTTGCAGTTCAAGTTTTTGAATGGAAACATCAACAGCAGAAAAGGAATTATTTCACTAGGTGAAAAAAATGTTCATAAACCACCACATCCACAGTAAAACACATACTACAAAATGCAAATGTTTTCTGTGGTCTCTTTTCCAGCCTTAGAAAAACATTATGCCAAAATGCCATGCATTGGAGTACTAGCAAATGATTTATTCCTAACACGCAGTTTCACAGAGAAGTAGGAACGTCTTTAGCCTGAGACCTAGAAAAAGTAGAAAAAATAGGTGTCCATTACATTGCTTGTACCTTCTATGCAGAAGCTTCAAATACTCCTAAATTCAAAGTCTGGTCTCCCATTCCTTTGAAAGGACCTCTTAACTCGCTTGATGCCTTCACAGAGCTCAGGAAATGCTGAGATTGTTTCACAGAGGCTTTGATTAAATGCCACTCACTGCTAAGGACAATGGAGCCAACTTCCACCAGGTTCTGCAGAAAGGATCCACGAGGAGATCCTATCTTGCATTTTTAATGAGAGGAGGGCATTGTATACCAGGTGAGATTGCCTTCTGCTGAAAACCAAGGAAGTCCCTTGCAATCAAGCTACATACTCGAGGGCTTTGTTCTACTCAAAGACTGTGTGGGTTCACCTGATCTGGGCATTTTCTTAAGGCTTTTTAGTATGTGATACTTGTTTCCAGTGGTTTTAAGTAGTAGAACTGTGGTAAAAGTTTTTTTCATTTTTTTTTTTTAAACTCCAAATACAATAGTGAGTCTATTCTACCTTTGATTCCTAAAGCTAGAGTGAGAGGACTCTGGGGGTCACCACACCTTTTCCAAAGTTGAGCTTCTGTTTAGAAAGAGGAACAGGAGCTACACTATGTTCTTAAAAGGGGGATCTGGGAAACACGATTGATAATCATGAGCACAGACCCCCATAACTTACTTTGGTAATAGTCTTTAAGACTCACAACTCATTTAAATGCCTCCTCAAGATTGCCATTAAAAGGACACAGCAAGATGAAAAATAACGGTGGCAAAACAGAATCTGTCGGATTTAAATGGGTTGCATCCACCATTCCCCTGTTGCAAAGGAAATGATCATTTCCAAGGAAAACACCAGATTAGAGCCTGCCTCCAATGTAACAGCAGGACGTTTATTTTGCCTGCCTACTAATCTCATTACGAGGTGAATTTATGTTCCATTGTGATCTGTGGTTTTTACCATCTAGGCTCCACTAAATTCAGAGGGACATTTTCAGGGAGCCATGCAGCGGGCAGTCAGCAGCCCATTCTGTGACTCTAACCCTTTCATTATTTTATTTTTATTTTGATGGACTCATCATTTCCTCTTCAGGTAGTAGGCTGCAGCCTGATCTAAAGATAATCACTGCAACACTGCACTTCCCTGAAGGCTTCACACAGCATGAAAATGCTGATCTTTTGTTTTATTGATAACGAATACTGAAAATAGACCAATAATGACTTGGGTTGCCTTTCCATTTAAATCTCTTAGAAGGAGCCCTACGCGGGCAGGAGCCCTTCGTGACCTGATGTTTGGATAGCTGTGACAGAGGCAACATAACTACCAAAGAATCACGGAAAAATAAAACCAGAGATAGGATAAATAAAACAGCTAAGTGTTTGGATCTAATGAAAATTCCAGGAGGCAATCTGTTTGCCCTTGTTCTGGGTTCAGTATAGCTCTGTGCACATACACCCCAGGAAGGGGCTGGGTCAGGTTCAGTGGCACCCGTCTTGCAGAAAATAAAGATTTGTGTTGCCTATTCATGGGCTGCAGGGGGGAAAATGACTATTTTTCGATGGTTTACGTAAGACGCTTTGGACTCCCCAGGTGTGTAGTTCTGCTGTAGTTTGTGGGAACAGTGATGAATACACAGTGGGAAGGCCAAAGTAAGCAGTTTTGTCTTCAGATCAGTATGACTGCAGTGTGCACCCAGACTCCGGCAAACAGATGATTTTGAACAAACTTATTATTATGAATAGTTTCCTGTTTGTCCAATTACAGGGTTCAAAAGATAATGATAGATAATATACTGAGCAGTAGGTAGTATATTACATTTTACTGCTAAATACCATTTTGAATCAGGATTCAATTACTCAAGCTTTAAAAAAAATTTTTTTTTTAATTTCCTCTGTTGTTTTCAAATATTTACTGTTAATTTACATCAATTTAGCATCAGGCTACTAAACTTCAACTACCCAATTTGACTAGTCTTTCCTTCCTAATGAGATATTGAGAGAAAAGCAATTAAATTAGCATTTTTGACTACATTGTCAAATCCTGTTATTAATCACATGGAATTATTTGCAAGACTTTAACATGTCCCATTATCTTTCAAAACATCTACCTCTGGCTGGAGAAGATGAGTTTTTTGGTGCTGATTGTTATTATTTATAACTATATGACCTGGTATTTATGATGTAATGTTGAAAAAGCACTTAGAAAGTAAACAAGATGTATTGGTAAAAGACACTTCCAATTTACTCACTAATATCTGAGGCCACTAATTCATGTCCTTGTGGTTATTAGCACAGAGTGATGTGTTTAAAAGGCCTTCGCAATGGCTTAGCAGTAAGCAATCTACCTGCAATGCAGGAGATGTGGGTTCCATCCCTGGGTCAGGAATATTCCCTGGAGAAGAAAATGGCAACCCACTCCAGTATTCTTGCTTGGAGAATCCCATGGACAGAGGAGTCTGGCAGGCTACAGTCCATGGAGTCAAAAAGAGCTGGACACGACTGAATGGCTAAGCACACACGATGTGTCTAAAGCATGAGGACAGGGACCCAAACAGGTTGTTTTACCACCAAAAGGCCCTTCTCTCTGCAGGTAAAAAAAAGTCTTCTATAATTAACTCTGTAAAGAGCAGAGTGGATCTTACTCATCTTTCTGTTTAGGCCAATTCTCAATACAAAGTAGATTCTCAGCAAATATTTGTTGAATGAATTTCTTTTCTAATAAAACTGCAATACAAGCATTTCATCTTATCTCAAATAGGGTCAAAATTTCTAAATAGGGACGTGGTGTGTGATAAATGTCTGTCAAGGTCAAGGGAATCCACGTACAAGAGTAGGTAGGGGTACCTGACCCATCACTATGGTCATCTGCATCTCTGGCTATTGTTTCTCCATCCTTCCACTTTGGACCCAGATGGTACCAGAGAGGGGAAGGAACACTCTGCTGTCAGTCTTGGGACCACCTTGTAGAATAAGCTCCAGAGCCTTTTTGTGTGTGTGCTAAGTCACTTCAGTCGTGTCTGACGCTTTGTGATTCTACGAACTGTAGCCCACCAGGCTCCTCTGTCCATGAGGTTCTCCAGCCAAGAACAGTGGAGTGGGTTGCCATTTTCTTCTCCAGAGGTTCTTCCTGACCCAAGAATTGAACTCGAGTCTCTTATATATCTTGCATTGGCGGGTGGGTTCTTTACCATTAGTTCCACCTGGGAAGCCCCAACCCTCATCCCCCCAGCTTTCTTACTAGTCTGTGAAAGGAAACCCCCTAAATGATGAACCACTTGATAGTCATTAATCTAAAAACAAGCATGAAAGGTGCTGCAGTATGCTATGAGCCTGATATTTCAGAAGTATGGCTTTTGAAATATATACAAGCTTCAGTTTTTCAGGAACCAAAAACCCAGTTTTAATTTCACTCTTTCTTTCTTCTTTTTCCTCATCTTTTGAGTGTTTCACCACAGTAAGGGAGTGGAAAGGAGGCAGAGAAATTAGGGAGGGAGATAAAACAAAAATTGGACCCTTTGCCATTGTTAGCCAGTTCTATTATTGTTTGGTTTTATAATATCCTCTGCTGAAAAGGACCAACACAAATTTGCTCCAATGAAAATCCCTTTATCACTAGCCTCAGTTTTTAATTAAATAAAAGGACTGGACCAGATGACCTCCAGCTTTGGCAGTCAATGACTCTGCACCTGGAGGTGGGGGATCACCACAAATTCCAATGATTTACACTCAGATAAAGTACAGCTAGTTGTAACGTGGCTAATTTCAGTGAATGGTCTAAAACATTGTTCTTTATCTATCAACCCCATCCTGTAATGGGGTATTCCAAGTTTATGCTTTTAGTGAAAATATACTCATCTAGGAATTAAAAAGATAACTTTCTGGATTATGAGTTGACAAATTGCTCTTAATTCAAGGGTAATAGAAAAGGATCTTGATTTCTCTTTGTTTAACGGTGCGTGTGTACATGCTCAGTCGCTTCAGTTGTGTCTGACTCCTTGTGACCCTGTGGACTATAGCCTTCCTGGCTCCTCTGTCCACGGGATTCTCCAGGCAAGATTACTGGAGTGGGTTACCATGCCCTTCTCCAGGGGATCTTCCTGACCCAGAGATCTAACCCAGGTCTCCTGCATTGGCAGTTGGGTTCTTCATCACTAGCACCACTAGCCCTTGTTTGAAGGTACCAGGGAATAAAGACAAAGGAGAGCCAGTTGCCCACACTTTCCTCATTAATTAACACCCCCTCAGAG